CAACCCAGTGAATCGTTTGAATTATTTGCTAGTAAAATATGTCATGTGTAAATAAAAAAGTAAAAAGAAAAAGAGGGGCCAGAATTGAAGGTAGCCTCCCTCTTGACTTACGCTGTCTCTTGACGCCTGTGCCATATCATCTACAGAGCAGCAATTATAAAAAGTTGGTGTTGATGTATTACTATTGAACTCGTGTTCTATCTTCTGTCGACAGAACTTGAATTTCATTCCAAGAGTATTTGTGCTGAACAGTAAAGCCAGTGCATGACTGAAAAATATTTGTCAATGAGGTTTTAATTTTTTCAGTTTTGCACAACCATTAATAATTGAATTGAATGAAGATTAGTCAAAAGCACACAAGTAGTTTTAGAGCCTTTAAATTCCCCAATGCCGATGGAGGACCTTGATAGCACTGTCATTACTTCAAGAGCCCTACAGGAAAGTATAAGTTTACCACTTCAAGAGGATGAGAAAAGTTCGATCTTCACTAACGAGATCTACTTGCACGTCGACATCTCCATCTGCGGATTGCAAAGCACAAAATCCTCGAAAATCCTCGAAATCCGAGATAACAGAATACTGGATTAACAGGTAGCAGAAAAAACAACATCGAAACAAATGATATACAAATAACATAATAAATGGTCCTTAGCAATTTAACAACATTCTACATTTTCAACAGGTTTGCAGACTTTTTATTTCAGAGAACGTAGGGAAAACCACGCAAAAGTACGGAATCTGGGTTTTATTTAGTACCTATGTTTCAGTCTGTTAGCGAAATTTCATTCATTTGTTTTATTACAAAAAAGGCCAAAACGTGTTTAGCCTAACGGCACGATAATTCTTTTTAGGAGATTAAATTAAATGAGTGTAAGTCAATATCTTGACATGCAATAATAATACTGTAGAACAGTTCATTTTGCTAATGGGTGCGACGCGAAACGACACTAATTAACTTAAAACAGGTGAACAATCAGATAAATCAGCAAACATGACAACACTGAGTCCAGTCCACAAAGACCAGATTCTTTGCTTGGTAAAGCTATTCTTCATTACATGACGAATAAAAACAGTTAACCATTAAGTAAGATGTAATGTAAATAATGTAAAGTAAAAGTCTCCATGACAAGGCTTTCTGTGATATGACTCCTTTATGAAGTTCAAAATATCTTGAATGTGGGCTGAGAGAATACAATAAAACAACTGCAAGTGAAAGGAACAATATTTAGGGAACATCCTGTCAACAGGAATTGACAAACGTTTCAAAGTAAATACTAGGAAACTACATAAATAAATATTAATCGAGTCATTACGTAACAATATTTTTTATATTTGTATATCTCTCCAACACAGGAATAAAATGCGAAAAGCAATGTCCATTCAGATTACACGTCGAAACCGTCCTGGAATGATAATCTGCGTGGAAGCACTTTCAAACTTAACATTCTGTCCGCAAAGCGAACGTTGCATGACCCTCCAATTTTTCTTTCCTGAAGAAAAGAATCTAATTTACAGTAGTAAATTACGAAAAAAATCGTACATTTTTCGGCGTGAAAAATGACGTATATACAATATACTTTCTTGATAAAAATGTATTTCTGTCATTCACGGTTTGAAAGAGCAAACAAATTGTTTTCCAAGCGAAATGGCGAAACTTTTTCAAGCAAAATTTAAAATGGGTGCATGATAAGCACAAGCAGTTTCATAACAGAAATGCAATATTAGGGACTGAAAGACCAAATAAAACAGCCGACCAAAACAAGCGTGCGAGAACTATATCACACCGCTACCCTTCATCAAAAACATTGAAAAAGTAATATTGTACGCCACATCTAAAATGCATATGCAGGGTTTTTTTAGACAGTCACTAGTAAAAGCATTTAATTTCAAGGCATGCCGTTCAATTTTTAGAACTAGTGCTAGAAGTGAGACAGTGGTCAAATGTTCAAATGTGACTGTGAATGTAACAAAGAAAAAAAATATTGTCAATGCAATTGATCTTACGGTACCCAATAAAGTGATTTGTATAATTGAATTAAAATAAAAGGTCAGTTCGGCTGACTAAAGAATAGATTTAAATTAATTTAATCAAAAAGTAGTAAAACCTGTATGTGACGCAAGGGGGAGAAGATTAACAGATTAGCAATATTTGAAAAAAATCGTTTCCCAGTTATAGAAAACGTATTTGCATCGGAAAACGAATTTCAGATATGATTTTTCTGCATTGCTAACAAAATAGTAACTCGCCATTGCCTCTTCTCCTACCATTACAAGCAAAAGGAGAATTCAACAAAACGTGCGCATAGTGAAGCTACATAAGTGTATGACATACGTGATTTTGGTCAAACGATTGTGCCACTCGGCATATCGGCCACGTGTCGCAACATTTCCTTCACGTAAACATAAAATGACACTTTCACAACTCGTTTCATAAATAACTATTCTCCACAGAAATGTCAAATTGTGAGCAGTTTCACACGTTGAAAGAGTAAGCAAACCACTTTTCAAACAAACGCGCGAAAAAATTAGCCCAAATTTCACTGCGACGCCCAAAGTTCTTCATAAGTGGGAAACGGAATTTAACGTAATTCCTCGGTCAGTTCCCAGCGCCACACGAGCAAACAGCCCGCCCCCCCCCGAAGTGCAGAAGTGGGAAGTGCGAATGAATGAATGGGAAGAATGAATGGTTATGTATATAATGAAACTAGTATGACTGATGTGTGAATGTAGAAAAAAAATAAAAATAACAATTTACCAACGATATAAAATAATAATTACGTAGAATATATAAAATAGATCTAGAAAAATGATTTTAGTGTAAGTTAGTAATGCCAAAGTGCAATTAAGATAACTTTAGGTCTAGATTGTAAGTTAGTTGTAAGAAAAAGCCCCGCCTAAAGCTTAAGCCGCAAGGCAGCAGCGTATTATAAAAAAAAATATTCATAGAAAATAAATTCCCCTTCTTCACAGGGATGCTGTGGAGGGGACAAAAAAAAACCGGACGGCCTGGGGCGTGGATTGCCTATCGCGTGCAGGGGCACGCACCGCACGCGGGGGCGGGCGGCGGCGCGTGCCGCCACACAAAGCGAGCGCGCGCTGGCGCAGGTGGCGGTGCTTACCGCGGGGGCGGCACGGGCAGAGTCCTCCAACCGTCGCCCGCGGGCGCCGCGGCCGCGCGGCTGCTCCCGGGCGGCGCGTGCGTGCGGTACTTGGCCGTGGGCGGCGTCAACGACCCGTGCCCGTGGAGATGATGGTGATGGTGGTGGTGGTGATACATTGTTGCTGTCGAGGGTTCCGAAGAGGGGAACTGATGAACAACACGCTTTCTTCGCGATAGATTCTTTTTTTCCCTCTAGTTTTCTAAGGTGGTTTAATCCCAGGTTAGGGTGGTTCACTTCTGATGATTAAGTATTGAACCAGATATTCCAACCTTATGTCTTGCACTGACGAAATGAACTGGACGTCTAGTGCTTGGTTTCTGGGAAATTGCAACTGCTAGTCTCTTCCCCTTCACCGGCAATCGATCGTCGACAAAATCACCGCACCGAATTCCACTTGTCACACGTCAGGTTCAAACTTTCCACTCAGATATTCGCGCCGGTGGCGAAGTAAGCGGTTCGCCTCTCTCGCCACTAAATCACCACCCGATCTTCACTCGCGACGCGACGACGCTCTACATACCACAATCCACTGGCGCACAAACATATCCGCGTCTACTGATCTCGTGGGTGCTTGGCGGTCGACGTGACGAGACGACGGCGCCCGCGCGACTGCCGCGTGCGACGACGCGCGGATACACCCGCTCGCGCGGCCGCGTTGCGCAACGCGATTAGCACCACGCCCCCCTCTGTCTCGCGCGCGCGAGGGGCACGCGTCTACGATAGCGCCGCGTCAGGGCCGCGCCGCACACACGTCCGCCGGCCGCGCGCGCGCTCGCAGACTGTCGGCGCCGGACCGCGCGGCGCGGCGCGGCTTTCGAGAACTTCCCACGGGCGCGAAAACGAGAGCGCGACGGCGGCGCGGAGGCAGCGATGGCGGCGGCGCCGCCTGGGCAAGAACTCGGACGCCGCAGAGCCGCTCTCGTAAACTGGCGCGTCGGACGGCGTCTGCGACGGTGACGGGACGTGACGCGACGCGACGTGACGTGACGCGCGCGTAGCGACCGCGCGCACAGCCGCGACGACGCCGGTGGTGGTGGTGCGGCCGGGCTTACCGGGAGAACGGGCACGGCAGACCAGTCCGACGGGGACGACGCGAGCGCGGACGCGGCCGCAAAAAGCCCCGAGCCACCGTCCACAGACAGGACGCTTCACGAGCGGGGGGCGGCGCGCGCTTCGTGGATGGCGGCCGGCGAAACGCCTGGAACGCGGGTCGTAGAGGGAGAGAGAGAGAGCCCTCGCGTTATTCGTCTTCGCCTGAAAGTTCATAAAGCAGCCCGACAACAATCGCGACCGCCGCGGTCGGCCGAGCACTTCTCGGGACGGCTCAGAAATCTCCGTCGCTCGCCGTGATGGATGGGTTGCTCGCCGGGGGCGCTCGGCGGTTATAATAAGTAAGCAGCGCCAGATTAATCGACGCGATCCGCGATCGGCGTGGCCGCAGCCGCGAGCGGGAAATCTTCGGCGGCTGACACTCGGCTCGGAGGGCTTCCGCAGGGCGAACGATCACTCGCGAAGGTCACAGTTTCCGGCCGTTGCGCCGAGACGCAGGAACCCGGTGACGTCACGCTCCGGTGGCGCGGAGGTCCTTCACACGGTGTCGCCGTACTTGCGGAACGCGCGCGCAAGCTGTTTTGGTTGCTACCACGAAGCAGGCCGATTGAGAAAAAGCGAGCACTTTACAAGCCCTCAGTGATCTCTACGTTGGCAAACCACTCGTTCTTGATTCTTTCAGAGGTCACATAACAGTTGCTCTGTTGAACAGGACGAAGTTGCTGTAGGCAGGCGTTCGACAGAGCGGCCGGTGTCAAGATGACAAATATGGTCTTCAATGAATTCAACTTCAAGGTTCGATGAACTGATTGTGACAGAATAGAACAGCGGTATCCAAAGGAGGGCACGGCGCCTCAAAACAAAGAACCAATTGCTGATGTAACGTTGTCTCCCAAGTCAGCGACTAGACACTGCCATCCATAGCAGCCAAGCGAGTTATTAATTGCGTGAACCGGCGAACGTCTTCAGCGATTCCGGTCCTGCGAGGCGCTGTGCCGAATCCACTCCAGAATCCTGAATGCGACGAGACGAGAGTGACCAGGCGGTCGGGTCCCACCCGCCCAGACGACCGAAAATGCAGCGCCGAACGAGTCTAGCGAGATGCGGCGAGACGAGGGCGAACGCCGTCGCCAAGTTCAAAGCTTGCACCCGACCAACAGGTGATCGGCAACAGCTAACGAATGCGTCGATGATTCAACTGATGCAGGTATATAGGTGGGTGTACGACAGCGGAGCAGCACGGTTGATTCACGGTTGATAAGTCGCTGACCAAGATGGTGAGATAACGTTATGTTGTGGCAGGTAACAGCCGGAGTACGATCGGTCTTGGCTGTAGAGCAGTCGACTGGAAGACGGTCTTCGAGTGTGCAGTTCATGCAATCACCGTCGCGATCTCAGTGAGGCGAGGGCGCTCGAAATTCGTCTGCATCTTACGATCCAGCACAGACGGACAGTATTAAAAACGCAAGTTTTTACAGCTGGCGCGCGCGTATTTGGCTGACGAGGCCCGACTCGTGCGCCGCAGTGGCAACCGGGAAGGCGGCCCGAAGTCCGCGGGCGCGAGAAGCTGCGCTGTTGACCGCGCGCGGGGGCGGCGGCGGCGGGCGCGCACCTGCTCGGGACGCGCACGCGGTGCGTACGACTCGCGCGGGCGGACGGGCGAAGAGGACGCGCGTGAGGAGGCGGCCCCACCGCCGGCGCCTCCGCCCCCCACCAACGCCCCCTGCCGCGCCGCGCCGCCCGCGTCCAGCCGGAGAGCGCAGCCTCAGCCGTCGGCGCTCCGCGGCGCGTCGGGGAGGCTGAGGATCCGCGTCGCCATGTCTCGCGGAGGGGCCCTCCCACGCAGTAATAGCACGTTGGATCAAATCATCGATATTCCGATACATCACCAACAGGTTTTCGATGTTAATGAAAACATCACCAAAAACATAATGTTTAAAATATAGATATTTTGAAATAAGATAAAACATATGACATTTTCTAATTTATAATTAGAGTATTTAAAAGATATACCGGGGAATTTTGTTTGGTCACGTGTAAGTAATATGTTCTGTATCTAAGACAAATTACATTAATATGTAAATATTAGTTTGATGTATATTCTAACTTAAAGCACTCTGTCACCTTCATTTTCTAATCAATATTCTATACAGACAAGGTTCCAAACGCAATTTACCAATATTACCATACACAAAATCATCGAAAAAGATAACACAAACTTTTTTAAAAAAACACGATGTTTCTGAAAACATATATCTATGTGAAGAAAAATTCGAAAACAAAACATTGGCCATCCCTACCCCCGCCCGCCCGCTTGCCGCGGGCCCTGCTTACTCGCTAATGAGCCGCTGCGGTCGTCCGCTCCACTTGACGGCGCGATCGGGCGTCGAAGCGAGGAATTTCGGGCTTTACCTCAAACCCGGCTCTCACACGGCTGCGCATCAGTGATCACCTGCTGCGCGCAAACTCGTTCAAAGGGTTCCGGAAGTGCAGAGGACGGTAGGCGGAATAATGGGGTTTTGGTTAACGAATTGCACTCTATTAGGGACGCGCAATTTTCTTAGCTTTACTTCCCCATTTTGATATCAGTCCATCCAACGAATTAGGCGTTTGTTTATCAGCCCCATCGTTACAATGTGTATACTAAAGAATATAGCCGATACATTGAAATTATGGAAAGAAACAAATGCTTCCGTTAATGATTATTTGAAAATGATGCGCGAACAAGAGTTTGTAAGAGTTTCTTCACGAGTCCTTAAACGTTTCTAATTCTGCTCTGGCAAATAACCCATGTGCATACAATTTCTTTTAGAATATTCCCCAATCATTTACCCTCTCTTTTTCTGGAGGATAAAATGTATTCGGACGGTCAGGAAAACACACTAAAATAAATCCACAAAAAAATTCACATATTTTCCTTTTTTAAAGACATATTTATAATCAAGATACAAAAGAAAAGATATCACATTTGTATTTCTGAAGTTCAGATGAAGTCGTGTCGTTCGGTATTGGACAAAATGCGAACAAAATCGCTAAGAGTGAAGGATGCCAGAATAGTAACCGCATTAGTCTGATCCACAAACTCAGAGTACATATCGCAAGTAAACAACAAAGTTTTCAAGATCTCGTAATATAATAACTACTACGGTATTTTCATGATCTCTGCGTAAACCCTGGTAAGATATTTCGCAGTCATCGGCAAACCAATTTTTACCTCAGCTTTCCGTAAACAATGATGAGCGCTCGCAACACACCGTTGCCTCGTTGGTTCTAGAGAATGTGCAAGATGCCGCAAGAAAGTCGTGATTCTACAGCAATGGGATAAGACATAGAGCATCAAACCTAAGGATGTGGAAGTTACGACGCTGCATGCGCGTAATAAAACTGGACGAAAGCTTTAAGAGCGAGTGTTTATGAGCAAGTGTGTAAAGCCATGTAATGCCATTCGCGTCTCACTATCTATGCCACTTTACGGAAGCCTCTCACCGAAACAACACACCACCTCTGACGCACAGCGAGCAAATCAAAACGTGCAACGAACGCTAGAGGTAAAAGACAGCAGACCCCAAGGAGTGCGTAATAAAACTTCGCCACCTCGAATCGCGCATTGCTTTTAGCGTACGCGGAATGGCTGAATCGAAGCGCCTTCCGTGATTTATGCGTTGCTCGCAGCCGGCGACGAGCATGACTGGAGGAACACAAAGGGCCTATTGAACCCTAACAGGATTCGCCGCCACACGTCAGTCTTTAGCAGGTACCGGTTCCTCCGGCGCGCGGATAACTAGCAGCTATTGTTTCCTAAGTGCTGCAGCAGCGACGGCGCGGGAGGAGACCCGGCTCCAAAGCTGCGGGGAGGTGATGGGAACATGCCACGCAGCGGAATGCATCGGAAAGGCCCGTTCGAGGACACGCCCTCGCCTTGCAATTTGCATTACGACCCCACAAAGGGTGGCGATTATTCTTCATTCAGTACTTACCACATGTAACCAATAGCATTCTCAATCACAAGATCTCTAAAATGCATTTTCAAAATCCTGTATTAAACCTGAATGTGAACTGGCACCTAAATTTGGCTGCTTAAATGAAACGATGATTAAAGAATGGAACAATGATGGAATGACTTGAATGCGCTGGCACAAATAATATAAGGAAACTTCTAAAAATTGAAGAAACCCTACAACCACTACTCAGTTCCACAGAAGGGTATGGCAAAATAATAAAATTTTTGACAACTACAAAACTGTATAACCTTATATAGCTGCTCAATGTAATGGATTAAACCGTACATATTGCGTAAATTATGATTAAATTTAACAATTTTGTTCATATAATAATTGTAACCTTTATGTTTATGCATACAACTGTACAATGACAGGGGTCGCTAATGACCTCTATGTTATAAAGCGACCATAAATAAATAAATTTAAAAAAAAATGCTGGAATGAGAGGTAAGGAAAACAAGAGCATACCAAGACAACCTGCCGCGAACCGACGCTGTTCACGACAAATTCCATGCAAATCGATCAGGGGTTGAATCCCAGTTCCAGAGGTGGAAGGTGAGTGATCTGACCACTACAACGCGGACGCCCACAAGAGCTGTGTCATGTTACGTATTTTCGGCAACCCATGACAAAACGCACTCGCGGATTACGATTATATAAGTGACAATCACACTTATCAGGCTAGTAAATCTATTATAAACGGTGACTGGAAGAGGAAGAAAAATGAAAAACAGTTAGGACATTCAGCGTTTTCGGCGTTTAGTAAACAAATCCCATTTCCTGGAAAAGAGTATTACACACATCTTTTGAAGAAAAAATGTCTATTGAAAATTAGCTATAGCAAATTACACGAATTACTTTCCTGTTGGATTCACAAATATATCGTTTACACGACACCAAATCTTTCCAAATCTTAATTAGTCGGAAAGCATCAGAAAACCGCAAATAACAGGAAATGTTTCTTCAGAAAACATGCAAAGCATCCAGACAGTGTCCGAGCAACGTCATTACCTCGTCCCATTCATATTTGTTGAAAACCATTGTTGACTCATAGCTTCTGTGGCCTCAGGACATTCTGAGTGCTTCCTTATGAGTGAGTTCAGGCAACCATAGAGAACCGCGTAGAAAAGTAAACAGTGCCACTAAATAGCGGGATGTGCCGATATTCAAGCAAACAAACATTCCAAGAGTCACGTTTACATACTTTCTAGCAAAACACAGGTTATTACACAATTTACAAATGAATGTGGATAGCTCGGGAATATATTTACTCAGATTCTCAACAGAATAAAATGGATAAAAATGAAAGAAGAACAAGAATTTACAAGTACTGTCAGAGGCAGTTGTTCATTGAAATAGGTCGATAAATATTTCAATTGGAACAGTGTTAAAAAATAGTCGTAAAACAATTTTCCATAATAAGTATTCAAACGTATTTCACCTTGCATTTATTCTCAAATACCAAGGGAAAAGTGATAACGGACTGCGTCAATGCCGCAATGTTTGGTCGCTAGTTTGACTTCTCAATACATATTACGACTTGATGACGCTAAAATGATTGGCGAGACGTCAAAAACATCGTAAGAACCGGAAGAAGTCAAGTGTAATTCACCTTTTTGTAATACTCAAATAACCGTTTCAAATTTTTTGTAGCTTTTCAGATTATGTCGTCCAACGACTAAATCATACGTTTCAAAATAATTTTTGAAAATTATACGACGAGTTACTTGATGAATTAATTATCCCTCTGCGTTTCCACTTACCTTTCCCCTGACACATGGATAAATAACTTTCATCAAAAAACGGCTGTAGGGAGAATAAATCTACCGCTAGCAATGTTGGTAATTTGTTT